CAGCCTTTTGGGGAATTCCAGGTTAAGGTATCTTATGAACGCACAATTTAAAAATATATAATATTAAATTGTAGTTCAATAGAGGCATTTCTATTGAGATATATCTAATACAGATGCATTTTGGCAGTATGTTCAAAGTTGTTAGCACATGGAAAATCAGGACTGTAACCCTTGAAACTGTTTGTGAGGGAAGGGCAGTTGTTGGGAGCAGAAGGCATCAAATTTACAGTCTGATGATTTACATCAAATTTACAGTCAGTGATTTAGGAAGGCATCTGAGACCTGCAAGGAATTTGCCTCTGTGGCCTAGCAAAAATTATGAATAATCAAACCCTAAAACCACCTGGAATCAACATCAATGCAAATCCGTTCTCCAACATGATTTTTCTTCTGAAATCTGTAGGGTGCTCCTCTGGGACCATTTTCCCTCTGGTCTTTGTGTTAATTTGATACTTAATTTTAGCTTATAGAAGAATCAGAGTGTGGGTTGAAGGGCAGTTTGCAGTAAAATTTTATCCCTGATCAATCTACTTATGAAGAATTCTACAGTGCTTGAAAGCTAAAACCACTGGATTTCCAATAACACAATGTAATATTCTGTGTGAAGTTTAAGTCTGGTTTTTAGAGACAATTCAACAGTATCCCACATACTTTTAGGGGTAAACAGTTTAGTTGGGAAACTAAGTTTTCCAGTTTGGCCAACAGCAGGATGTTAATAATGGAAAGGGTGGTACAGAGAGCAGTGTGGTGTGATGGGAAAAAGCAAGGCATTTGCATTCAAAAGATATGAAGTAATTACTTCTGCTATCCTGGTTATATCTGGTTACTCCCTTTAGACTCAGTTTTCTCAAAATTAAAAATAAAAATCATGGATTATCTCTTCTATAAAACCTAGGTATATTATGACATGATAACTTGAAAATTATGGATATAAGTGTGGTATAAGCTTGTAAGTCTGTGTGTGTGATCATGTTACTGCATGTAATATCCTTTTGTGGCTTTTGAGGTAGAATCTTAACTCTTTCGACTTGGTTTATAAAATTCTTCATGATTACAATCTTGTTTATGTCTCTATCCGGTCTCTTGCCACTCCTCTTTTATGCTGTATACATAGTAAATGTCCAGTCACCCAGGCTATTATGTCTCTTGCCTGTAGCCACTCAAACACGTTGTTACTCTGTCTGTCAGGGTCTCCATCCTTCCCCTGGCTCTTATCTACCAGCCCTTCAAATCCCAAATAATTGTAAGAGCAATAATAATACTAGTTACAGTATACTGGTAATGATAATTTGAGTAACATTAAGACAAAAATAATAGTATTGACTATATCTTTGCAGAGCTTACTGTGTTCAGCAAATATACTAATAACTTTTCATACATCTTGTTTAATTTTTATACCAAACTTAGGAGGTGATTTATTGTTTTCATTTTAAACATTAAGGAACAGAGGCCTGAAAAAGTACCTTCTCAAAGTTATTTCTTCCTGAAAGACCTTCCTGAACTCTGAAATCTGTAATTGCTTCCCATGCTCTGGGCTCCTATAGCACCAATAATAGCAATTAACACTACATTATGATATCCACGATGCTCCACAAAGAAGTCTTGCTTACTGTTATAGTTTCAATTATTGGCACAGTACTTAGTACATAGTACACACTAAATAAATAATGTTTCAATGGATGAATGAACTAATAGACTCAGAGCTGTCCTTTTACAAGATTGTAATTTAGGTCTACTAAACATCAGGGTATCCCATTCCTCTTTCTTTTGTCCATCCTCCCTTTACTCTACAATTTCCAGTTACTGAATGCATACTCATACTCAGTTACACACACTCTCTCTCTCTCTCTCTCTCTCTATATATATATATATATATACACACACACACACACACATATATAATAAATATATATAACTTAGGAGGTTGTTCTATTGTTTTCATTTTAAACATTAAGGAACAGAGGCCTCAAAAGGTGCCCAAAGTTATTTCTTCATATATATATATATATATATATATATATATATATATATATATATGTACATACACACACACACACACACACACACACAGAGTGTGCACTCAGTAACTAGTTGGTCAGTATCTGAACCCTCTTCAAGCCTCAGTGGCAGGTAGGACCCTATCTTTAAGAAAGCCAAAGGGCTTGCAAGAATATTCCTTTAACCATGACTATTCTCTGATTATCATTGTAGGTACAACATGTGGAGCTGCTCTTATCTCTGCTGCTTTGTGAATAACTAGAATTTATGTAGTATTACTTCCTGAGCTGTGTATGGAAGTCAGAAAAGGCTCACAAATAGGAGCTTCCCACAAATTCTTGACTGTCTTCCTCATAAACAGGATAATATGAGAACTTAAAGATTCAACTTGCTTTGCCTCTGGAGCAGTCCTTAGGTAGTTGGGTACCCATCCTACTTGGCAGAAATTCCATATAGATTAATGTGAGTTGTGAGTGGGGTACACTGAATTTCTCAGCAAAGGAATAAAATAACATGCTAGGGTTTGTCCCTCATTTAAGATACTCTTTCTGGCTAATTTTCTCTTTCTTGCAACTGGATTACAGCCAGATCGACTTTTATTTTTCAAAACCCAGAGATACCACAACTTAATAGGATATTCTTCCCTGTTAGTCATCAGAGGCCTCAATTAACTGTAGATTCTGCCACAATCAAAAGGAAAGTGGGCAATCTTTAATTAAAGCTAAAACCTCACTTAAACATTTTCTCTTGCAGAGATATAGGTGAAACAAGAAAGGGTATTCCAGTTATAATTTCAGAATCCACTGCTTATAAAGTATCATTTGCTTGTGTATGTAGACTTATTCACTTAGGGTTCTACCATAGCAGCTGCTTCACATTTTGAAATTGATGCAAAAGGAATTTTGAAAGCAAGCAGATGTGGTGTGATAGGACTACCAGGTGGGGTCTGAGGTCCTAAATGTTGTTCTTGACTATATTGTGGATCTGATGGTTTTGTAGAAATATCCTGGCTCCCACCACTACCATCTGTTTCCAGATTAAATTGGGGTAGAGTAAGGGTCTAGGGCAGTTCTTGTAAGGCAAAATATTTGTTTAAAAAATTTTAAATGTAGTCTGAGAAGGTGTAGGAGGCAGGACAGCCATACCATCTTTTGGTGGTGATAGGCAGGGTCTTCTCAGCAGTTTCTGAAGTTCTGGGTGGCCTGAGCCTGTGGTTTGTGGGAATGCACCTAATTATCCATCCCCTGGGGTGGCTCTGAGTCAACCCAATGAGGATATTACTTTGGTAAACTATCTAAAGGGAGAAAAACACAGCTTCTCTGACCCTAAACTTAGCAACTCAAACAGGGGAATGAAAAGCCTTGAATCCAGATGTGTTGCCTACAGTGTTAGCCAGCTGTCTTGTAGACTCATTTGTCTTCTTAATTTTTGTCCAAAAGTGTGCCAACACCAAGATCCAGCAGAAAGTTTTATTGCAGTCTCCCTTCTTCTCATAACTTCTCTGTAAATGTGGCAACACTAAAAAGGTGATAGGAATGGGAGTAGCAGTGGCAAGCCATAGCACTAAGACACTTTTAAAAACTGAGACAGAAGGATGCTGATCACCCCTGATCTACCACATGACACCTTACAGGAGAGAAAATGACAAGGAAGTCTGACACCACTGAGTTTCTTCACCACAGTCAGTAGCTGTTTGGGACATGTAATCTCAATCTCAAGGTTTCTGAGACAGAATCATCTAAAAGCACTTGCTGAAAATACATATTCTAGATTCCTGCCCTTCATATATGGAATTTTGGGCCAGGAAATATGAATTTTTAAAAACTTCCTGGTATCATTCTTAAGTACTCCAAAGTTTGAGGATATTTGAGAGTACAGGCACTGTGCTCCAGCTACTGTAAAGATCCATTTAACTGCTTAACCATAATAAAGTCATATTTATTTCAGTCAGAAAATAGCCCCCAAGTTACTATCCCAGTGGGCTCTCTATTCTGCTATATTTTACCCCTGAATTCCAGTCTGCTGTTGCTAACTCTCATTCGCATTATTCCTGATTCCTGCCTAGCCTTCTTAGCTGATTTCCTGGCTCTTGTTAGTTTCTGGAACATAAAAATCTTAAAATGTCACTGCTTGAAGGGACCAACTCTCCCAATGAATAGATACTGAGAATCTAGCATTGTTTTAAGGAGCTCAAATCTGAGAAGCCAGAGCCACATCAGTCCAGAGGCAACACCATCTAAAGCAAGCAGCAGATATATTTCCCTCTTTTTGCCATTTTTCTGTTCGTGACTAGTTTTCTATGAGTATAGGTTCTGTGCATTATCATCATTATAATCCCATGCATTTAGCACAGGCCTGCATATTGCAAGATTATGACAAAAGTCTGTTAATATAGGAAAGAAGGAAGGAAATAATTTTCTTAAACAGAATTCATGTGGACCGGAGCTACCACTAATAGCCTTCAGGCAGCCGAGACTGTTGGTGTTCATCAGTAACTGGTGTCCATCAATAACTGTATTAACTTTCTTGTGGGTATAAAACCACGTTTTCCGGTCTCCTTGGTGGATAGATGCGGTTGGTCATGCAATGAGTTCAAACCAAAGAAAAGTGAGTCCAGTTGATAGGTACTACTTTCAATACTGGACCATGAAGACCTCCTAAACTATATTATTCTGTTTCCCCATCCACCAACTAAATAGAGTTGATTATAGGGCCCTAGAGGAAAGTGAATAGACAAGAATATAGAGCCTTCTGTCTCTATGTGGAGCCAAATCCACCTGGCCTTCACTGAACATCATGTGGGCAAGAAAGAAGCTTCTATGTTCTGCATCCCTGAAAATTTTGCATTGTTACATTATTTAGCCCATTCAACTAATTGTGCTTGGAAACAGTCGCGTTCTCACAGGTTTTGCCATTTGCTATGATGCTGCATTAGCCAGATGTCACTGAAATCATGTTTCTCTCAGTCTTAAGTTTTCTGATTCCAGAGAGTCTGCACTTACCAGATCTACGGTCAGCAGCCAGTCAATATCTCTGCGTCTTCCAAAGTGGTGAATAATACGAGAAAAGATCTGCACTGAAGAGGAGAAAGTAATATATTAGACCAATTTTCATCATTACCAAAGTGATTCAGTCATGAGGGCCAACTTCTCTGGGCATATGCTTAGTGTATAGTTCTGCTGTTGCCTTCTTGAAATACTTAATACTTTCTTACCATTGCATTTCACACTGGTCTCCAGAAACAATGCAGCCATTCCTGCCCCCATAATGGAAGGAAACAGAGTTCCCCATTGGCCTGTCTTTGACTTCAACTCCCTGGACAAGTGGCCACAAGACTTTTTGAACTATGGGAGTATGAGCTCAAAGACTGCACCTGGCCAGTAGTTGCCCATGTCACAACTTCATCTCACATCTGCCCTATACAATGGATGTTTCTTTAAACGCTGGCCTTTCTTACTCTTTAGAAGATACCTTGATGGTGAGGGTAGCAACATATTCCAGTGTAATTCCCCAGCAAGGAAATGGAAGCCTTCTTTTATAAAATCTAGCAAGAAGCCATGCCACCATTTTGAGAGCTTTCTGGCTCTAGCTTTGCCTTGATACGGCATCTCCCACCCTCATCTTAATGTTTGAATAATCTTCTGGTGTTGTGATGCTCCTGGTTTCTGATTCTTGGTCTAGAGACTACCCCGATTTCTTTTTATTACCAATTAGCAACCTCCATTCTACTTCATGATGTTTTAGATTCTCCTCTCAGTGCCTATGTGCTTATCCAGCTTCACTGGGTTCCTCATGGGCATCCCATGGAGCCCTCTAACTTGCCTTCTATTCAGGTCCTGAAATTTGCCCTGCAGTTCTAGTTTGCTTATTAGTTCTTGGCCAGGGTTTTCTTGGTGGTGCTGTGTTGTTGTTTACACAAGTCAGACATCAAATTCCACCATCATTATCAGAGATACTCTTCCCTTATGTATTTATACAATTTTGTTTATTTATTAAGAGTTCAGCTATTTCTTGAACATGTTATAAAACAAGTTTAGTCAAAAAGACCAAAGCCTATGTCCTCATCAGACTCCTCAGATTCTCCTTTCTTTGCTTCCACTTCCCTCTCCTCAGCTGGGGCAGCAGTGGTGAAAGGGACAGGATCTCCTGCTTATGCAACATAGGCTGCTGGAGTGGTCTACCAGCACTTCCATTGCAAAGGAGGCTGCTGCTGGTGACACTGGCCAGGTCTTTTGCAAACGAGCCAGGCCAAAAGGGCTCAACAGTTACAGCAGCTGCTTTAATAAAGGCATTGAATTTATCCTTCGTGACAGTCACCTCATTGTCCCGCAAAATGAGGGCCCAGTAGATGCAGGCAAGCTTGGGTGACCCACAGTGCTACTTGCCAGATGAAGTGGCACTGCAGACTGCAGCTCCAGTCTCACTTTCACCACATTGGGGGTTGAGGGCCTCACGCAAATGTGGCCTTAGCTTTTTTCAGAAGGACCGAGCACCTTGGCAGCAACTGAGGGAAGGGTCTCTTCCCTTTTTAATGTGGTTTTAACCCATGTTTAACAATCAATTGTTTAGGGGAAAAGGAAAGAAGGTACCCCATTTGGCTACCTTATTTTTTTTTACCAAAATTGCTTATTGGTATTTCTGTCTCCAGTCTTTCCCCTTTCTAATCTTACCTCTGTATCATTTTTTAAAATGCAGTGTGATGTTATAACCTGGGTTAAAATCCTTCAATAATATCTCACTGCCTAGAGACAAAAGTCATGCATGGTCTTTTGTGATCTTGGTTCAATTTACTTCTTCACCTTCATCTGTCAGCCTTCTATCTCTTTTTTGATGCTTATAGCTAAGCTTGAAATTCCCCCACAATGTAGTGGGTTTTTTTTCTTTTCTTTTTTTTTTTTTTTTTGTCTCTGAACCTTTACATATGGTATCCCTCTGCCTAGGATGTTCTCTTTCAGCTTTTTCATATTGCTTATTCCTATTCATCATCAGGTGGTCATTTAGATACTATCCCCCCCTAGAATTATTCCCGATATCCTCCAGGGTGTTTATTTGTTTATCCTTTATTTTCATAGTACATTATTATCTATACTAATAGTGACACTTGTATCTATCAGGGTCTCAGCAGGAAACAGACAGGATACTCCAACTGGGCAATTTGAGAAGGCTTTAATAAAACAAAGGAATAGTCAGGGTCTAGGGGAACCAACAATTGATAGTTCAGTACCACCCTGGTGCTAGTAGCATCAGAAAGTGTTTCCTCCCTAAGCTTGATGAAGAAAGAAGTAGTAGTTAATACAAGCCAAAGAGAGTGCCTGAGCCTTATGAAGGCTGTGGCCCTTTGTAGAAAGATCCACAGCAACTCTGCAATGAAGGAGACTGGGAAATACATTCCCAGCTTCACATTCCTCATGTCCTGCCATCTACTGCCAATGATTTCAATTTACTGAATCCAACAGGAAGCCAAAGGGTAAATGGAGACTGATGAAATTCACAATATATGTCATCCATAAAGGTCAGCCTCCTAGCTCCTAGGCATAGAACAGGATTGAGAGAGGTAGAGTGAATCTAGAAGGACAAACATAAGGTATCAAGTGTAAACTAATGCCCATTTATTGAATACCTACTTTATTTGACAAATGTATTCCTAGTTCAGAAAATTGTCCTACCTTCTATATTAAGTATGTCCATTTTACAAGTGAAAAAACTGAGGTTTGGCTAGCTACACTAGCTAACAGGTGGCAGATTACAGATTCAAATCCTTTTCTATCTGGGTATGAAGGCTCTTTCCACTTTCCCATGCTGCCATTACTGGTATAGTGTTTTGTCTCATCCACTAGACTATGGCCTACTTGAGTACAAAGTTAACATTTCATTTATCTTTATATCACTGGTGCCTTGTGCAGTGGCTAGCCCATAGTAGATAGGGTAGATAATAGATATTTGTGGAATTGATTAACAAAAATAACAGAATGATTCAGTATTTTAATTTATATAAGCGGGGGTTGGGTAACTGGAGTCTGCCAGGGGATGTTAATGAATTATATCTGGCACTAAGGCACCTCTTTGTAACTGCCCTTTATAAATAATTGCCCTCCTTTTCATATTAAAGAGAGAATAAAAGTTTATCTGGTCCTTTAACCATAATGGAGTGTAACAAAAACTGACAATAAGTGGGTTCTCTGTATGCTGATCATCTTCCATCTTCTCCCTGACTTGGCTAAGAGCTGAGGGTAAGAAAGAATGGAGCTTGCTTTCCCCAGTCCTTCCTCTATGACTTTTCTTCTGAGTTGCCATGTCCCTTTCTAATGGTTCATTTCTCTTTCCCTTTCACTTAACTTGGCTTTTATATGTCTGTCCATCACTGGCTCTCTATCAGCTAGGGCAGCCTGACTCTTTTTTTAACTGTCAAAGGAAGCTGCCTGCTCTGAATGTATGATGCTAGAGAATGGGTTTTAGTAAGTCCTTAAGAAAAGTTGTTTATGTTATTTCAAAGGTTGCCAAGTAATAAATAGTTGTTGAAAGTGAAGGGTAAAGTAATATCTCACCACCCTGTTCTCTGCTGCTCTTCTGATGGCTCAAATCATAAAACATCATGTTTTGACCTTCATAGGAAGGTTTCACCAACTTGGGGTTACTAAGTGGGCAGAGACATTCACTTTCCTACTCAGTGCCCTGGACACTACTCAATTGTAGCCCAGTTGGAACTCCAGTGTTTGAACCTTTGAAACTCTGAAACTGATTGAAGCTTCTAAGCCAACAAAAGAGGCAAAAGGCCTTTGTGCTTCAGCAAAGAAATGTTCCAGTTCTTTTGCACTTTCCTAATGAAGGCTGGCCCAGGAACCCTGTTGTCCCTGAAACACAGAGGGAGTTGTAGGGAATAAAGGCAACTTGACTCTTTGGGGTCATTCCTCTCTTCCCAGGGACTTTTATGGATAATCTTCCAGCCATTGAGAGGTTTGATACTCATTCAGATCTCATAGCTTTGGATTTGGATGAGAAATTTTTTAAAAAACACTATCTAGTATATTGCTAAATTGCATCAGATATTCCAGTATATAAACTCTCATGCATACTTTGTCTCGTTTTCCACATCCTCGCCCAGCTTCAACCATTTAGGTCACCTGACTAGCCTTATAGTGATTTCAGTTTGCTATCCCAAATTTACTTTGTAATTTACAGTGATATGAAGATGCAAATTATTTACTAGTATTGTTATTGTTGGATCAAGTTAAAGAGTTTCATAGTATACATTCAGATATTAATTCTAATACCATGTAATGCCTTTAATAAGCTGAATGAGGAGACAGTCTTCTCACCTGACACAATTTTAGAAAATATGAGATTTTTAAAAGCTAAAGACCCAAATTCAAAATTTGGTTGGAATATATTGTGTTATATATCTATATAGAGAAACAGAGGTAAATAAACAGCAGGCCTGAAAGAAGCTTGAGAATTTGATTCCCCAATCCTCAATTTTATAAATTAGCTACTTTGTATGCAGAGCAATTATACGACATAAATTCACGTGTAAGATGATAACTATGTCCTACTGGTCATCCACCATAAATCTTCAAATTTGTAGAACCAATGAGATTAATTATGACATAGCATCTGAATCTACAATGAATGAATACAATGGGAAAGATGGTTCTGATACCACTTAGAAGCATCTGGCCCTAATCAGACTCCAATTTTAGACCCAATCCTACCTAAAGTTTTCTATAATTTATTACATCAGAAGATTCAAAGAGTTATTTTTATACAGAGAAAATTGGACTCAAGTAAAAGTTATTTTCATCACTCCATCTAATTACAAAGCTGAGCACAGAACTATGACTATTCAAACATGTTGCAGATATAATAAAGAGAGTGAATAGCAATGAAAGCTGGTCTTGAACAGCTGCCAGAATATGCAAAGATGGGGGAAATGACTCTCATGATTGGAGGGGAAATTAAGGAAACAGTAATTTCTTTTCAAAATGTTCACACACCATTAATTAGGTATTTTAAGGGTTTCGGGTTAACTATGATTTTGATTATTCCTTAGTTTTATGTAGCTTACCCCAGCAATGAACT